TTCAGCTTCATTGCTAGATATTAACTGCTTTATTCAAACAACTTACATCTATTACAATAGTTTGTTTACATATTATGTTGTGATTCAATGTGGTGCTTTGTGTGCATGTTTGCATAAACAGTCCTCATGCGATTGTTTATCGATTTCGATAGTAAATCGAAGTCCACATTTTGAGCAGGAAAAGGGCAATTCTTTGGTGTGAGTGTGCAAATGATGATTAACTATAATTTTTAATTTAAATGTTTTTGAACAAACTGGGCATTCGAATGGCCTCTCATCATTGTGGATTGCCATGTGTCGCTTGAGACCTGACATCAAATCAGTGGTGTATTTGCATACAATGCATTCGTATTGACGTTGTTGGCATTGATTTTCGTGTTCGATCTTTTCAACTTCTTGGTTGAATCCTCGGCGACACTTTAGACAATGGAATGGAAATTCGATGGCATGGACTTTCTTGTGTCTATTCAAATGATGCTTGAGTGTAAAAGCCTTTGCACATATTTCGCATTCAAAAGGCTTTTCGCCTGTGTGAATTCGCATATGCCTCATGAGTATATATTTGTACGATGCAGCATAACTGCACAAATTGCATTTGTGTTTCTTTCCATATTTGGCTTCGGCTGGATCAATTTGGACATTTCCACTGTCATTTTTCTTCGTTCCTCTTTTCTTTGTTGCTTTTGGCTTACTTTGATGCTGTTCTTCATTACCATTCACATTTACATTTGGATTGGCTCCATTCGTACCATCGTGGTCATCACTTGCATTGTTATTTGAATTCCCATCTTGTGGTGCATCATATTTCTTCTTCGAACATTCGTCTTTCTCGGTCTTAATTTCTGTTTCCACATAATCAGGTTCGCTTTTCAAATCCAGCTCGTCATCACTTCCGCTCTCTGATTTAATTGTGCCACTTGCTTCGATTGGCGATGGTGGTGGCGAGCACTGAACCAAATATGCGTCATCTCTTGGCTCAGCTTTGACATCGTTTTCAATTTTGGTTTTGATTTTTGAGCCGCTTGGCTTTTGTTTTCGCTTACGTTTAACTCTACCATCTGAGGTACCTTCACCTGGATCTGAATTGAAGACCATGGTGATCTTTCTATAAATAATAAATTTATTAGTTTTAAAATGGAAAAATCTGTTATGAAATCAGATAAGGCAGAACATAATTCACATGATTAATGCAAAGAGCTACCTTTATTCTTTTTTAAACATTCGTGTGTTTTAAAAAATACCAATAACTTCACGAAAAATATACTTAAAATGAAGAAATATGGTTTTGTTGTGAACAAAATGTGTACATTAATGATTTAATGAATAAACATTGAATCAGTTGCAACACCATAAAGACGAAAAATTTCAAACAAATGTCAAACAAGCAACTCACAATAGAACGTGGCCGTGACGTCATGGAAAATTTTAATGAACAAGAATGTTCTGGAAAAAAACTAGCAAATTCACAGAAACACCAAACTATATTGAAAATCGAGAAAATCTATTCTCTACTGGACAAAACAGATGTTTTCAATCCAAAATTACTTAAATTAACTATGAATTAATATGTGAATGCCAAAAAATAGAATAAATATTATGATTTCAAAAATGAATGAATGAGCGATAGAAATGATTTTGTCATGGAAAGTATGTTTATTAATTTACTTGTTTGGATCGGAACTAAATAAATTATGACTATTCAATGTCTAATTCTCACTCCAAAATAATTCTCACTCTAAAATTCACCTTTAAAATATGCAATATTTTTGGGCGCAAATAGAGTGCAATTACGTGTTACTCTGTCCAATGGCCGTCTGCTTCTGTCTGCTATGCTTTTATTGCGCAGTACTTATGATGAAAAAAGTTCAATTTGTGAAGTTGGCAACGAGGGTGATGGAAACAACAGTAATGTGTGTGTTGGTATTTCAACGTTGGCAGTCCTCAAATTCAAATAAAACTAACGATTTTTAAGGGGAATTCATTCATCATTTTTTGAAATAAGCAATGGCATTTTAATTGACTCGGCGCTTTTTTCCTTTTATTTCAACGTATTAACTGGAGACAAAGAAAGAGAAATGCAAAAGATGGTAATGAAGATAACTTTAGTAGGGAAGATAACTTTATTCAATGCATTTTATTTGAATTTATGACATTTTTGATTCAATTCAGTTGATGATAATAAAAATTTGGAAATGATAATTTATTTTATTGAATAAAAAAAGTACTTTAAATGAAAAGGTGTTGAACAAACGATGAATATCTGTTGTTGTAATCCATTGGTGTGGATTGAGATTGAGCTGTTCTTCATTTGTTTTGATGATGAACTTTCTTCATGTGTTGATTAGCGTTGCCTGGTAGAGAGAATCGGGCCTTGCACCATTTGCATGGAAACGGTTTCTCACCGGTATGATGATTTCGCATGTGGCTTCTTAAGTTTATTGCATGGCGTACTGAAACTTGGCAGATGTAACATTCGTAGTGGCGACGATTGCAGTGCTCTTCATGTGCATTCTTATCGCCTACGTTTGCAAATCGACGACAACATTTGATGCAACGAATTGGAAGTGGTTT